TGCCATTTGGGCTATGCATCGCGCCTGCCACATTTGAGTGCATGATCGATACCATCTTGCGTGCCCACAAGTGGAAAACTTGCTTGTGTTACCTGGACGACATCGTAGTATTTTCATCTGATTTCCCGACACATCTTGTTCGTCTCCACGAGATTCTGACGTGTCTAACTTCTGCAGGCCTACAACTTCACACCAAGAAGTGCCACTTCGCAGCACAAAAACTAACCATCTTGGGACATGTCATCACAAGAGACGGTGTTCTTGCAGATCCCGATAAGCTCCGAGCACTCGCTGACTTCCCGTTGCCCACATCACTGAAAGCCCTAAGAATTTTCGTCGGCCTCTGCTCGTACTTTCGTCGCTTCATCCGCAACTTCGGGTCCATCATCGCACCTCTGACGAGTCTGCTTTCCAACAGCAAAGGTATATCTGCATGGTCACCTGCATGTGACGACGCATTTCGCCAGCTGCGCCGCCTGCTGACCTCACCACCTATTCTTCGTCACTACGACCCCACTGCTGCCACAGAAATTCACACGGATGCAAGTGGCATCGGTATTGGTGCAGTTTTGGCACAAGGGAAAGGCACCCAAGCTGATTACGTAGTTGTCTATGCAAGTCGCGCTCTCAAGAAGGTTGAATTGAATTACTCCGTGACAGAGAAGGAGTGTTTGTCATAATTTGGGCGTTGACGAAGTTTCGCCCATACCTTTACGGCCGTCCTTTTGACGTGGTCACAGACCACCACGCTTTTTTTTGGCTGTCCACCTTGAAATACCCGTCCGGACGCCTGGGGAGTTGGGCACTTCGATTGCAGGAATACAACAATCGTGTCGTATATCGTTCCGGTCGCAAGCATGCGGATGCCGATGCACTTTCGCCATCGCCATTAACACTAGATGTGGCTTCTCTGTCACCCCTTTTCACCACCTTGTCACCATTTGACACCACTGACATGCTTTCGGAGCAGCGTAAAGATCCATACCTTGCATTGTTACTCGACTACCTTACCGGTCCGTCTGCTGTCCCTTCTACGAGAGCGCTACGCCGGCAAGCAGCCCACTTTTTCATGTGAGACAACATTCTGTACAGCCGCAACTACATGCCTGGTGATCGGAAGTGGCTCCTTGCTGTCCCAACTCACATGCGCTCTGACATCCGCATGAATTTCCATGCAGATCCCCAAAGTGCTCACGCAGGTGTCCTGAAAACCTACAAAAGGCTGCGCCATTGATATTACTGGCGAGGAATGTATCGTTTTGTGCAGAAATATGTTCAGTCTTGCACCACTTGCCAACAGAACAAGATACCTCCGCGGCACCTTACTGGCATGTTACAGCCGCTCCCGTGCCCGGCTCGCCCATTCGACTGCATAGGTATCGACCTCTATGGCCCCCTCCCATATAGTGGCTCCGGAAACTGGTGGGTGATTGTCGGCGTCGATCATCTGACATGCTACGCCGATACTGCAGCTCTGTCGGTAGCGACCGCCCACGAAGTTGCACTATTTATTCTGCGCAGCTTCATTCTCCGCCATGGTGATCCACGGGAATTACTCAGTGATAGGGGTAGAGTGTTCCTTTCGGAGCTCAACCAAGCTATTCTCGCTGAATGCAACATCATCTACCGGAAATTTACCGCATACCATCCACAAATGAGTGGTCTCACTAAACGGTTCAACTGCACACTTGGCAACATGCTGAGGATGTACACCTCCTCCGACCACACTAACTGGGACGCTGTATTACTTTTTGTTACCTTCGCTTACAACATCGCGACGCAATCGACTATTGGTTTTTCCCCGTTCTTTCTATTGTACGGCCGTGAACCTTCCCACCCACTCGACACTATACTCCCGTACCGCCCTCATCCATCCGAGTGCTCCCCGCTTTCGGAAGTCGCCAGATACGCTGAAGTCTGCCGTCAGTTGGCTCGGTCTGTGACAAGTGAGGTTCAAGGTCTACAAAAGACCCGACACGATGACGTTCACCTCATAGCTCCTACTTTTCGTACTGGCTCCCTTGTGTGGCTTTGGGTGCCCCCGCACGTTCCTGGCTTTTCTTCTAAGCTTCTGGCCCGGTACCATGGTCCATACCGTGTCATTGACGCGACCTCACTAGGGAATTACATCGTCATCATCATCATCAGCCTGACTACGTCTACTGCAGGACAAAGGCCTCTCCCATCTTCCGCCAGTTCACCCGGTCCTGTGCTTGCTGCTGCCAATTTATACCCGCAAACTTCTTATTCTCATCTGCCCACCTAATCTTCCGTCCCCCCTAACCCGCTTGCCTTCTCGGGGAATCCAGCTAGTCACCCTTAATGACCAGCGGTTATCCTGTCTACGCGCTACATGCCCGGCCCATGTCCATTTCCTTTTCTTGATTTCAACTATGATATCCTTCACCCCCGTTTGTTCCCTAATCCACTCCGCTCTCTTCTTGTCTCTTAAGGTTACACCTACCATTTTTCTTTCCATTGCTCACTGCGTCGTCCTCAATTTAATCTGAACCCTCTTTGTAAGTCTCCAGGCTTCTGCTCCGTAGCTAAGTACCGGTAAGATACAGCTGTTATATACCTTCCTCTGAATTACATCATCGAGCCCCTAACACAATCGCCAGATTTGCGCCGTCGAGGACGCGAGACCGTATACACGTCGACCGTCTCAAGCCCTACTGCGGCCCCCTGATGAGTCGCCAGGATGGCTACTATTCACCCCGGGGGGTATTGTAGTGGAGCTTACGCACTAACGCGTATGTGCCTTCGGAAGAGAACGAAAAACCCCGTGTTACTGCGCGAGAACCTGTGCCGCCTTTGTCAGACTTGCCGTACGCCCATTTTCCGTCGCGACCTCGTTGCGACTTCTCTGTTTGAATAAACATCATCGCACTTGGTATACATACTGTGCAATGTTTAACACAAAAGTGAAAAGTCCGAGGGATACTTTTCAACTGGTCGGATGACTTTGGATCCCTGCGGCAATATTATTTTACGTGCTGAAAATATTCCAACATAACCTTTTTTGATACTCACTGTTTACAGCAGTATTTTAAAAACCATCATATCAGGAAGTTAGCTCATCAGCTATGAACATTTACGTTATCTTAACCGTAATTGCCTCATCGTTTCTTAGCGATTGGTGCACACAATCTAATTCTCTTGCAGCTCTTCTAATGCGATAGCGTTAAAGAGCTCGTTTCGCAGAAATTCTGGCGTCGGTGGCTGTGAGAGAAAAATCACCATCTTATGCGCAACTGAAAAATCGAGAACAATGCAAATAATATAAATAAATGATAAAAAACTCTGCAGCAGAGTGTGGATCGAACCAGGGTTGTTTGGGTACAGCTGGGGATCGAGCTCGGGTCGTTTGCGTGGCAAGCGGATGTTCTATGCCACAGGGCCACGCCTCTGCTTGTGAAAACAGTGAAAAGAACTTTGTCTGCTTGGAAATGCAGTCACAGTAGCTTTCATGCTTCACAAACACATGCGTCCTGTGTAGATGCTTCACAATGCATGCGGCATGAAATATTGCAGTAATAATGCGTGGCACAAGCGTCGATTGCCAAGGGGCGTCTGAATATGTGATTATCATAATGGCTCCAAGGTATATAGAAAGCCGGTACTCACTACAAAAGGCACACACGCCACTGCATGTGCGTGCCCGTTTGCAGCACACCTATAGCGTCATTTTGCAATTGCATTGAAAACTTCATATTTTAGAACATCAGTGATTTTGTGTCTGTGCATGTATAGAAAGTGATTTTACAGTCTTCAGCTGTGGCCTAACTGAGCGCCATGTGAATACTAAGTACAACTATGTCGTCAAACTAATCAAAACGATTGACCATTGTCACCCTTAACACGTGATGAAGTGTCGCTTGTTATCACGAAAATAAGCATTGTGTGTCACTGAAATCCGAAATCAAATTGGTTTCTCTGCTGAAATGAAACTGTAGTAACTTTGCTCTTGGCGTCTCAGATTCGATTCATGCCACAGTTCCAGGATCAGCAATTCAAACGACACACTTGTTCCTCACTTTGTTCCTCAGGGTTCTTTCAAAGGGATACCGAAGAGGAACAATGACTTAATTTAGATGGACAAACTGCTCTCTGAGAACACTAATGTCATATGTTTCACAATCACAAGTTCCTTATTATAGCGGAGAGAATCAAGGTTGGAATATCATTTTTAAATGTCGTACCGAAATTTCCGCGTGTGACGTAGCAAATTTCAAAATGTATTTTCGTTGTTTTTGTGGCATTGGCTCAGTGAAATTTTCTGAAACTTCGCATGCCAAGTCTACGGCATGCACAGACTATATATATTACGTACTTCATATTTATCGATTGGAAGCTCTACGTAGGACCTACTAAACGCCTTCAAATTTTCTTACGCAATGATGTTTGGGGCGGGATTCTCACGAAGGCCTCACCCATAGAGTTTCCCAATATACAATAGAGGGAACTCTGGCGCTAGTGTCTAGGGGAGCTGCAATGCACAGCGCTTCAGCGAGCATGGGAATGATGGGTAGTACACACATTTGTCTAAACTTCGTACTTCTGGCCTGCTTTTGGCTCCATGTGTGTTCGTGTGGCTTGAAGCTGTTTTCTCACAAAACAAAAATCGGCAAATGTTCAGCAATTGCGCTTCACCACCCTATTTTTTCGAATTACCTTTCCAAATTGGTTCACGAAGTTCAAAAGGGTTGAATTTTTTCTTTCAAAACAAAATCGAAACACAGCAATAAACGAAGCCGCAAGTACGATTCGTCACCCGCAAGTACGAAGACGAGGCAAATGTGTGTACTACCCATCATTCCCATGGTCGCTGAACGATCGCAGCGCCAGAGTGCCCTCTAGTTAACTTTGAGAAACTTTATGGCCTCACCCACACGCAATTTCTTTTCGCTCACTAAGTGTACTCACTGCAAGAGTGGTGTTTTCAGGACTGTGGAATTGTACTTTACTATAATGCGAAAAAAAAAAAATCATTTTGCTCTTCAGCGTCCCTTTGATGTTGACTTACCGTAAGTGTAGACATCGCATTCGCCGTCCGGCAGGGTGCCTAGCCTGACTATGTTGACGAACCAGTGGCACGTTCCCCTTTCCTGTCCTTCGGGACGGCAGTACTGAAAAGCCACCGTTTGTGTGTCGTTGTAGGTCACGATCTGCTCGCACCGACGCAGGTCCGTGTCGTTGACAAAAAGTGATGGCGCTGGTCTGTACGCTCTGTGTTGCGGAAGCTTCGTGTACCGCGCCAGGGAGTCTGTAATAAAGAATAATTGAACATTCGTTGATGACCGTTTGTTAGAAATATGCGTGAGAAAAAGGAAGAAAACTAATGTTTCATTTTGTTGACACTGAAGCGCCTAAGTATGGATCGGACACTTTGATAGCGATGAGGGATTGGAGGGGGAGAAGAGGAATGTCGCAGGCTAGTAGAAAAAAAAAAGACTAGAGGTGGTCGTGTCTTTTCAGTAGGCTACATACATTGCGCTTCTTTTACAATACAAATTATTTATAAAAAGTACTATGTCATTCAGGGAGAGCCTTTGTCGTCTACGCAAACGAACTCTATGCCGGGACGGCAAAACGTTGCTGCAGCTGAAGTTTTATTAAAACGGGTAATTAACAAAGAGCTGGAAAATTAACATTCTAGATAATATTACGAGGGATTTTGTTGATGTGAAAGAGTTTCTGACGTGACAGTGGTATACCTATTAAAATACGTAATTAGATATATTGATAAACAAAATTCACGGAGTCGATCTAGACGATATCGAAACTGAGCGCGCAGGAGGCCATGGAAATGGGGCTGCTGGGTTACACCAGACCGGAAGGCTCACGTGACGAACATAGTAAAAAAAGGCGCGTCGCAGCGGAATCTGTCGGGAAGGAAGGCAAGTCGTTTCAAACAAACAAGTGGGCCGTTTATTCTGTGTGTGTCCAGCGGCCTTCGCGAAGATGGGGCCTTCGGCCACGGTCGTCGGCAGAGGCCTGCGTGTCCGTATTCTTGCTTTCTAAACAAAATAGATACATGTACGATAGTGTAAAAATCTGAAAGCAGGCGTCGTGCACCGTTTTCGTTGACTAAGGGTTCTGTAGGCACAGGCCTATGTCCAAACTCTATTCGCATAAAACAAGACTGTTTTCGAGAACCACATGTCACTTTAGTAAGTGTGCGTTAGAACAAAAAAAAATATCTACCGACCTTTCGCAGTTGCGTAACTCAAATGCATAGATGCAGCCACGCTGGCCATGGTGGCTATAATTAGGAACAGCCCGATCGTCAAGGGGATCATCACCTGAAATGCAGTGCCACATAAGCTTTGTTTTTCAGTCGCCGTTGGCACAGCTAGTGTTCTCTGGCTCAGCAGCCAAAGCGGTTCCGCCGCTGTGCCCGACGAAAGACATATGCATCTAAATAGATAGATATACTCAAAGTGCATTCGGTTCGCCAAGAAATGTTGCGCATAAACAAAACGAAAATTGGAGAAGCTCCACATTATAGCAGTATGAATACTGAAGAAACAGCGGAGCTGGTGACACATGCCCGCTGTTACGAGGCGCGACGCCAACACGCTCCTGAAGGCGCCACTGCTCTGAAACTCGCCGCTGCAAAGGTCACTGGCTGTTAGGCAGAGTAAATGTTTCTCAGCTCGCGACTGCGTCTGCGCAGAGCTGACACAGAACACCTAGCAGTGGAGCTGAAAGACGAGCGGACAAGACGATCGTGAGTTAAGGCAAGGTTTGTGTACAGCATAGAAATAGAGGCGCTACATATTCGGCACTGGGGCAGACAGCTTAGGAACTCCAAGAGCCGAGATGTCTTCTCTCTAACACATACGTCGGCTTCTCTATGACGCACAGCTCGACTGCTTATCGACGCACCACTTGGCTTTTTTTTATAGACCCCGGGTCATCCATTACGTCACCAACGCCCAATCAGAAGCGCCGCTGGCCATGATGTCAGATTCCTCTAGTCAAGAACCGCCACTGGGTTGTATCATGATCCTCGAATCCGGAGCCGCTGCGCTGGGTTGCACCCTAGAAGGAGTGATGTTGCCATGCGTTGCGTAAGGCTCGCCAGACTCGACGGTGCCACTTGCTTCATGGGCCCGTGGGCTGAAGGAGCTCGCCGTGCGTTGCTTGCGTAAGACAGACTGGCACCGCCGCTTGATGCATGACGTCGTTGAGTTGATGGCGTTGGGTGAGCTCGCTCGCTGGCCTTGACACAGATTGCCTTTGGAGAGGCAATGACGTTCAGTGTGGACTACCAGGCGTAACAACGCCTACTTTTCCTCACCCTCGCTTCTTTTCCGCCGCTTCCTATACAAAACTACGCTATGCTTTATTCTCATTCCTACTGCCTTTCCTCCTCGCTTCATTCGTCCTCGTCTTTTCTAGCCTTTCCCACCCCTTGTTATGCATTAAAAGATAATGCTATATTTCACTCTCTCTACTCATTTCCCTCCTCCTCACACTCACGTCACACTTCACCCTCACTTTCTATACCATATAGCTGTGCCATGCTTTTCCCACTCCCTTCCTGCTTTCCTTCCGCACATACCTCCTCCTTACCCACATTTCCCTTTCCAACCCTTGCAGTACTATGCATGGCTATGCCATGCACTCTTAAAAAAAAAGTTGTAGTACTTACTAAGTTCGGATTACTAACTTCTTGTCACATACGTTACTAACCGGTTGGTAAAAGAGCCTAGTAACGGGGAGGTTAGTAACAGTTACTACCTCCACCGTTACTAACGCGACGGTTACTAATGTAGGTAGTAACGGTTGCAAACAAAAAAAATCTACTAGGCGCAATCATTTCACCTCACAAATCACCCTTTTCATAACAGTCCTATTCGCGAGCATCAACATTTTGATATATCGTGCACTGAGTAATTATACACATAAAGCAGTAAAAAAGAGCAGCACACATACACAAGTCCACGCGAGAAGTACAGTTCCCTAAGTGGTACCAGGAGTATTTATAGCTCCGACTTTGGGGAACGCAGCTGGTGCCGGTGGGTGGCTATGCTGTATATAGGATGTATAATTTAAGTAATGAGTTTTTATTTGTACAACGTACAGTTTTTTTAGGTGAGCGAGGTAGGACTTTTCATCAAGGTAGAGGTAGAGTAGGACTTTTAATGAGGTACAGTAGGACTTTTAATCAAGCGTATTAAGAAAAACAATTAGTTATGTCTATTTTGCATAATACCACCTGAACACGGCCTAATATTAAGGCATAAGACTAGGTCAGTAAGCCTGCTTATATTGCCTCAATGAACTTGAATGCATCCCCATGCTACTAAATAGGTTGTTAGACGCTGGTAGTAATAACCTCAAAATTTTTTTAACAAGTTCATTAAGTACGTGCATGACAAAAAGTTACTGTGTGCAAAACGTAGTAACCGTTGTAACCTTCAAGAACTAATTTGCTAACGTGGATAGTAAAAGGTTAGTAATGGCACAGGAAGGTTAGTACAGCTGCTGTTACTAACAATTTGCTCGTGGTTACTAGCTTTTTACTAACTTACTTTTAATAGTGTGTTGTAGGAGCTGCAATGCACACCCGCTTTCAGTGGCGCAAATTGACTCGCCCGACATTGTGCCAACGCCACAACGAGTGAAAAAAAAAAGTGTTGGTTGCTTCTGCGGCGCACCGATTACCAACGTACCTTTCTCTGGCAAAACCACGGGCGTGAGGTTCCGTTGGTGGGTTTAGCGAGTGCAGAAGAGCCGGCATTGCTTGTTGGTCCTCCGACTGCAGTGTTTGTCATTTCCATCTTTTGCGTTGATAGGCTGGAAAAAAATATGCAGAAAAAATAACGCAAATGGAATGCTGGACCGATATGTGAGCTCACCCTTGCTTACTCCAGAAGCGCAATATATAAAGTATTTCTCTGCTTAACACCTCTTTTACGAAACAACTCGAATGGGTGCAGCACCAGTTCTGACTTCAGGCCCTGACTTATTAGTATCCGTTTGGCCAATATAGCTGCTAAAAGTGCACAATTTGCATTAATCGTAATGTTCTTTTGTTTAATCTTATAAAATCTGTTTCATATAATATAATGTGTAATTCTTGAGATGTTTAGAAAATGGTAAAATTAACATCCTAGGGCTTCTTTGGAAATAATCACCTTACTATGTATAGTTATATTCTCAAGCTATACGTATATTATTCTATTCATATTCAACCGTCTGGCGAATATATTTTGCAGCTCAACATCGGCGACGTTAATGAAGAAGCATTTTGCTACCTTCTGTAATAATTAAAATGACTCCCAGTTAATAAAGCCTGCACAAAATGCGTTTTGTGCGTCGTCTTGTCCGGTGAAAGATCAATTTTTGTACCTGGTGTCTCAGTTAAAATGGCTCTCAAGGTATTAATCAAGATCACACAATGTGCTCTTTGGATGATCTTGTTCTTTTATTATCACCCTTCGGCCCAAGTTCTCCGAACAATAAAAGCCGAGTTTCCACTATCTTGAAAGTTGCTATCGACTACCGTTCAGAAACAAACAAGGACCATATGAGCTGTGATAGTTGGCTCTTTCTAAGAGGAGGAGAATGTGTGGGTCAATGCGTCACATTCCTTAGCATACGCCCTGGTGACGTCATCTGTGGAAACATGGCATACCGCCCTGTGGTGTTATCTTATAGCGAGAAAGTCGCGAAGTTTAGCGTCTTTTCAGTCGTGCTAGCGACAATTCTATCTCTTCGAAGTCTTAGCGACTTTTTTTTTCAGGGAGGGCGGGGGGAGGGGGTCAACATTTGAGGTAGAGTTTTCTACAGCAGAGATGGAAAACTAGCAAACTGTCGGAACAGTGGAATGCTCGGAACGAGTTTCAATGAATCAGGCCAAAGCATACAGGATCATATTTGAACACAACGCACGACTACAAGCACACAAAAGGAGAGACATACCGCAGCGCTCTCCTCTTGTGTCCACATAGTCGTGCGCGGTGTTAAAATATATGTTCAAGTACTGTCACCAACTGGCCCAGCTTTCAACCCTTTTGCATACAGGATCAAGCTGCTTGTGGCACTGTAATCTTTAGCGTGCAATGAGGCCGTTCCGGGCACTCCTTCTGTTCCTGTTAGAGATGGGCAAAGCAGCTCGGCTGAACGCCTCACGGTTCACCGCTAACAGGTGGACTATACAGCTGCTCACTGGCTTGCAGTGGCGTATAGCCAGAAGCTAGCAGCGCATTTATTGATTGATTGATTGATTTATATGTGGGGTTTAACATCCCAAAACCACCATATGATTATGAGAGACGCCGTAGTGGAGGGCTCCGAAAATTTCAACCACCCGTGGTTCTTTAACGTGCACCCAAATCTGAGCACACGGGCCTACAACATTTCCGCCTCCATCGGAAATCCAGCGGCCGCAGCCGGGATTCGATCCCACGACCTGCTGGTCAGCAGCCGAGTACCTTAGCCACTGGACCACCGCGGTGGGGCGAGCTAGCAGCGCAGTCCAACTTCATTCAGCACAACAAAAAACTGATTTCAAATGTTCATTAAATGAAAAATAATCTCTTCACGTGGTTTATCAAGTCAAGAACTACTGAAGCAGGACAAAAAATATCATCGTTTAGCGACATTTGTATAAAATTGGCGACGTTTCGGAAGCGTTTTGGCGACTATGCCAGTAAAAGTTAACACCACTGGCCCAGCGGCCGAACTAGTTAAATAAGTCACAGCTTTGGCGCAAGTAGGTGGCGCGCTGGTCGCCGAAGAGAGAAAATGGGCATGATTAAGAAGTCCGCACTAGAGACCTATCGAACCTTTAAGCAGGAAATTGCCAAGGAAAGGATCTATGATAGTACTCGGGGTAGTTCTCTACTGTTTGAGGCCAGGACGGGAGTACTGCGAACCAAGACATATCGGGCCAAATACGAAGGGCTAGACACCGTATGCAGTGCGTGTGCAGAGGAAGAAGAAACTGCCGAACACTTGATAATGTTCTGTAAAGGGCTTCACCCTATAGTTCAGGATGATGGCGCAGAGTTTTTCAAAGCACTGGGGTTTAGGGAGGCAAAATAAACTTTAAGCGGGTAGACTTAACTAGAAGGAGGTTATCTGATTGGTGGCTAAAGTCAAGGCACGAGTGAAAATTAAACTGTTCACGGCAAAGTACGAATCCTCAAACTCACTTTTTAAAGAAAAAAAATAAATATAGTTTTTGGTTCATTAAGTATTACGGCTTGGTGGCGCTAGCCACCGCCCGATCTAAAGGGTACAGCCACATCCATCCATCCATCCATCCATCCAGAGCGGACGCGCATCACGTCGGCTCCGTCTTCCAAGAACTATTTGCCAGTGATTTTCGGTCATTCAGCCCATGAATTTTACAACAACGCGTGCGGAAAGTGACCAGGATTCCACTGACACCAAATTTCAAGGTTGGAGAGGACTTTTTGCCCGATTCGAGAGGTTTTCAACCCGCGCCCCTTTGGCCCGACGCTCACGCAAGCCGGCCACCCGACGAGACGCGCTGAGCGTCTCCTCTGACGTGGGCGCTTTCTTCGGCCATCAACAATGGAAGTCCGAGTGAACGGGGAGGATATCTCCCCCGAAAAGTTTCAGGAGGGCACGGATTGGTGCACCATCAGATCTAAGACCCAAGTTAACCGCGCAGAACAACACCCAGAACGGAGCTCCCTCCTGCACCGGCGAGGGAGCGGACTGCAACCGACAGCGTTCGCGTCGACAACCGCGTAACATCAAGCAGCAAGTCATTAGAAAGAGCGAAATGCCACTACTCCCACGGAGCGATTTCAAGATTGTGATGCGACCACGAGGACGCCTCGACGTGGCCACCACCGGCACCGTGCCGCTTCGCACCGGCGATTTACCGCGCGGACAACGTACCAACGCATGAAGCAGGGGAGGACACGGTGTGTTCTCACAACCATCAAAACATCATCGTCGTGAGCACACCCCATGCCTCTCACGCCGATAACTACAGGCAGCTTCAAGCCATCACCATCGGCGACCGCCACCACGACGTTAGTGCGTACGACATGTCCCCCGACAACACGGTGAAGGGAATAATCAAGGGTATCCCATTGGAAGAAGACGCCAAGTCCATTCACACAAGCGTAGTTCACTCACGTAACCCTTACTCCCTAGCAGCCAAACGGCTCAGTAACACCATGACCATCATAGTGGCGTTTGAAGGATCGCGAGTGCCCACTTACGTCAATTATGGCGGTGCTCTCCATCGCTGCACCTTGTATCGCAAGCAAATCGACGTGTGTCACTGCTACGGGAGACTTGGTCACCGCATGGACGTGTACACAAAGCCCAAGGACAAAGTGTGTCGTGGTTGTGACGCCCCTAACCCAGGCCCCAACCACCAGTGTTCCCCCCCATTGCAAGCTGTGCGGGGGCGCACACATGACGGCGGACCGCAACTGCCGTGCAAGGTACAAAACGCCCTACATCGTGACGAAGAGACAATGGGAACGACGCAGGGCCAACGAGGAGGCAGAGGCCACTGCCACCAACTATTCCACCAGCAAGCCCCGCTCAAGATCCAGGACACCCAGTCGAAGCCACTCCCGATCTCGTAGCCGCACACCGGGACCCCGAAAGCAGCAGCAACGTCGAGCTCGCAGCCGAAAACCTGGGCGGACCCCAACGAGGGACGCCAAGGCAACTGAGTCGGTGAGCTTTGCAGATGCGGTCAAAGGAAAACGCGCCACAAACGCGGAGGCTGGCGGCAAAACACACACTAAGATAGAGGCGGAGATAGCTCAGTTGACACAGACGATACAAACTATGCAAATGGAAAGCATGCAGGCACAGATTCACGCAAAGGACGAACTCATACAAAAGCTCCAGTCTGCCGCTCACAGCGAGACTGATCAACAGGCAATGCAGGAAACACAAGAACTTATTGAGGACGGTGAGGTCGACGGCCATGATACTAAACGCGGACTGGCTATCTCCCTTAAAAGGTCAGTACGTTCCAAGCGTACGCGCGCAGCGATAGGCGACACGCGAGTGAAAGCACTCGAGGCTCGCGTGAGCAGTCTCGAGGAAACTATCACCGCGACTATCACGCGTACGATTCAACAAAGCTTGGAGAGCATTTATCTCAGATTGTCCAGATTAGAAGCTGCCAACAGCACGCTGGTGACGTCGCATAGCGAAGCGGCGCCACACATGTAGCACCACATAACCATGGCAAGACACTCTTCGAAACAAAAACATACAATATGGCAGTGGAACTGCAGAAGTTACAAAAACAAACGAGCGCACCTACAAAAATACCTGAAAACAATCCCCGACCGCCCAGGCGTCATCATACTGCAGGAAACAAAACGGCCCCGCTAAATTTTCAGGGTACCAGTCTATAACAGGCAAGGCGGAGAATCCAAACGTCACCACACTGCTCAAGCGAGAGCTCACGGTTATCGAACACGACACCCAAGTCAAGGATATTTAAAACGTTTTTGTAAAGCTAATTCCACCGCCTAATACACCCTAATGCATCTTCGTACTCAACGTCTATAGCAGTCCGAGATGCCGCAAACACTGCATGCTTTCACGTCCTTTTCAAACGAGCACTCGATATCACCCAGGGGCAACAACTCTTCATTAGAGGCAACTTCAACGCGGTGCATGCGGCGTGGGGTTACAAACACGATCAGCCGAAAGGCAGGCATTTGTGGGAAACGGCGCAACTCGCCGGCCTCGGGCTGGTCACTGACCCAGCGGCACGCAGGGCAACAGCGTCAGCACTGACACCACGTCGGACCTTACCTTTACGTGCAATAAACGAAAGGTGACTTGGAGAAACACTATGCAAGACTTGGGCAGTGACCATTACATTATCTCTATAGAAGCAGAAGGTGGCCCACAGGAACACAATGCCGGTCGCCAAATGAAGATCACTAATTGGGAACTACTACGAAAAAATCGAGACAAGCAACAGATTGAAGACATCAAAGACATTGAGCAATGGACCGAGCAACTTCGGCACGACATCGAGAGGGCGACGAAAATGATGCCGTCAACAGCTGGACTTGATAGAATAGACACCCGGTTACTGCACATGTGGCAAGCCAAGACCCAACTGCATCGCCGTTGGAAACGACAACGATATAATAGGAGATTGCGAAAACGAATAGCACAGCTCAACAAAGAAATAGAAAAGCACGCACTTAACCTGCAACAACAGCAATGGGAAGAGAAATGAACGCAGATGGATGGTCAGCTCACTACGAGTCGCGCATGGCAGATACTGCGGTACCTCATAGATCCCGCGAACACCAAGACCTCACAGAGGCAAGGCATATGCAAAATCATACACGTTTACGGAAGAACGGAGCAAGATTTCCTACGGGAAGCGGAACTCCATTACATACCCCGAATGCCCCCGCAAGTACATCCGGACTACAGGAGAGAAGGCAACGCCATCCTAGACGCAGAATTCTCAATTTCCGAAATCGAGGCGGCCCTCGTCAAACTCAATGCCAAGTCAGCCCCAGGCCTAGATCGAATATCGAACAGGGCACTGCGCAACCTGGATTACAGATTTCTAGAGAAACTCACAGATTCTATAAAGGAGTGTTGGGTGCGTGGAAAGTTACCCCAGCCATGGAAAGAAGCGAGCTCATACTTTACCGAAACCCGGCAAGAAATTGCAGCTGCAGAACCTGCGCCCTATCTTCCTAACATCATGTGTAGGTAAACTGATGGAGCATGCATTCCTCAATAGACTAACAGATTACATCGAGGACAACAACCTATATACCACACACAATGATTGGATTCAGAAGACATCTCTCCACACAGGACGCTCTTCTGAAACTAAAACATCAAAGCATAGAAAATCCTGGGTGCTCAACAAGAGCCATCCTTGGCCTGGACCTGAAGAAGGCCTTCGATAACGTTCGTCACGACGCCATATTGCGACAAATAGACAGATTGAAGCTCGGAATGCGAGTGTACAACTACGTCCGAGACTTCCTCACGGGAATAACCACACGCATGCGAGTGGGACAACTAGAATCAAATCAAATCAACATTGGAAGCTCAGCTACACCGCAGGGCTCGGTGATCTCGCCGGTGCTCTTCAACCTCGTCCTGCTAGGGTTACCCGAGCGATTACATCAAATTGATGGACTGCACCACACGCTATACGCGGATGATATTGCGATCTGGACGGCAACAGGCAGTGACGGAGAGATCGAGGATTGCTTACAGGCGGCCATAGAATGCGTGGAACATTACCTCGTAGGCACGGGACTCACCTGCTCGGCCGAAAAATCCAAATTACTGCTATATATACAGGTGAAAAAGGGACGCCCGCCCAAAGACTACGTACCTTCAGAAAAACAAGAAATCAAACTAGCATCATCAAATGGCTCACCAATCCCAATGGTAAAGAAGATCCGGGTGCTGGGGATGATGATTGAGCAGAACGGCGGCAATGGTGAAGCACTGCGCAAGATAATGGCAAAGGCCACCAGCACGATGCAACTCATCCGACGCATCCCAAACAAACATGCGGGCATGCGCGAAGGCAGCGTCATACGACTCATACAAGCCTTTATTTCCATGTACACGGCACCGTGTCACAAATGGACAGTTGCGGAAAAAGACAAGCTTAACGCTTTGATACGCAAGACGTACAAGTTCGCGTTGGGACTGGCGCCCGGAGTTAGCACCAGCAAACTCCTAAAGCTAGGGTTGCATAACACCCTCGAGGAACTCGTGGAGGCGCAACAAGTTTCCCAGCTCGAGCGCCTATCCAAGACCCGCCCAGGCCGACGGCGCCTACTCGAAAAACTTGGCATCACGTACCATACGCAGCACGGCATCAAAGTCGAAATTCCAAGATCGGTACGCGGGCAAGTATACGTACCCCATTGCCTCGCAACATGCCCCCCCAACACCATACCGAACGGCGTAAAGCCAGGGCACAACGCATTACTCAAAGCTACTCCAACGACACTGAAGCGGTTTTCACTGATGCCGTGCGTTATACGAATAAAAATAGTTTCGTGGTGGTAGTTACCGGCCATCGCGGCAAGTACACCACAAGCCTCACTGTTGTTGGGACTCCGGGTCCTGCCGGTCTCATTTTCGGTAGCTGGCCCCGTCGCAGGATCCATCGTCCGACAATTCAGCGAGAAGAAGCGCCCGAACGAACGACAGAGATTTATTTACATGTGGAGAAGTGATCAACTGATCCAAAGGGAGAAGAGAGATACAAAACGTCTTCGGCATTTTATAGCGCCGCGTTGCCAACACTGGGCGCATTGTCCGCATCGTCAGCCAATACGGTGGCCCCGGCACCACGGCCACGAGGGAGGGGGAAACACACCTCACAACACATGGAGGGGCACAACCTAACACGATGTCCATATATGGTCACGGCGCCCTAAAAAATGCCCAAACATGGTCACGAACGCACAGCAGATTACGGAATTCTCCCGGCGAGAGGGGGGGGGGGAGCCTGAATGGGGAGGTGGGGGTCGACGACACAGTCGGTCAAGAACCGGTTCTCCCCGCAACTCCTCTTGCTTGGTTCCCTAGGGCCGGTCGTAACACTGTGAACATGGCACACGCTGAAGCGGCAGAGGAACCGGCACTGGCGCTCACACAGACCAATGCCACAAACGTGATTAGTGATTCGCGAACAGCAATTCGCAATTTTGCCAACGGACGCATCTCGGAAGAGGTGTTTCACATACTCCAACGACATCCCATACATCCAGGAGAGGTCGACTTCGATAACCGAAGGCACCTGCTATGGATCCCGGCACACACCGGACTGAGCACCCCCAACAAAACGGCTCACCGCGTTGCTCGAGGCCTCACTCACCGAGCATCGCCGGAGGACGACGAGCCCCCGCGGGGAACTGCAGACATCTGGGCATGGGTGGATCGTATGACTAGGTTATACGCCATCACCACACATTACCAGTTACAACGACGCATATACCCATCTCCTCACGAAAGGCTAAACAGAACGCAAGCGGTACACTTCAGACAATTGCAGATTCATAAAGAAACCCCAGACTCATGCACGCCATGTATCCAGACCACGGTGATCCAGACATATACACTACAAACAGATGCACGTCACGTGGCGAGGTTGCCACCCTTAGTGACTTGAAGTGGGAGTGTCAGGGCCTAATAAACAATTCGAACAGTGCCGATTCATCTCACTCTTCCACCGCCAGCCTCCGCTCGCGTTGGAAGGCAGCACTGCTCAGCTCGAACCTGACAGCACAACTCTGGGCCATCCAGCGTGCCGAGGAAGCCGCTTCGAGACAAGGCCTCGGAACTGCATCCGCGTTGGGTGCCAAGGACCCACTAAAAAACGCCGGACTCAAATCGTCTGGATTCGACAAATAAAGTTTATGTTATTCTTTGGCGCAAAGGTGAAACAATTAACGTGGTAGCAATACTGGAAGGTCACACCCAGAATGGCAAGCAAATCGAAACATGCCCCGCAACCCTTGCGAACAAATGACGCACGAAACGTACTCACAGGTACAGATGAACGCGAATAAGCGTCTCAGTTGTTACTTCCCTGTGTCTGAAAAGCGTGCTCTTTTCGCAGATGGAGACTGTGCAATGATGGTGGTGGTGGTTGTGGTTGTAAAGAAGAGGAAAAAGGCATCTAATATCTGTCTGCCTCAGGGGCGACACGGCGCAGTGCCTTATTGGGGGGGGGGGGGGGAAGGAGGGATAGAAATAATAGAATGAAATAGGTGAAGAAATAGAGAGGCAAGCGACGGAAAATAGGAGATAGGAAAGTGGGGATCCTATCGAAGCAGTCCAATGGCGGGGCATACCACAAAGGCGAGCTGCACGGCGTCAGGAGACCGCGGAGGGTGAACCGGCGGGAGCTGCGATGTCGTCGGAGATCGCGAGGGCACGACCGTCTAGCTCCAAATCCGAGCAATGACTGCAGTGAGCCTGCCTCCGCCGTCCCAAACTGGCAGGTGTTCTGTGGCCGACCGCGATGCGTCGCCTCTGCCCTAGCCCGGCGCGAGGGGCGGAGAGGAGCGTCTGTAGCAACGCGCAGCGACGTCACACACCACGTGATTGCGCGCGTTCCGCCCTCCGTTCCGTGGCTGCCACGACATGCTCGAGATCGGCAAGTCGTCATAGGTATGGATCCATGGCAGGCATCAACCTCGACTGCGATACCTCCAACAACGAGTACAACGCAATCGAATGCGAGCATTGCACGCGTCGTTGAAGATGTCGCGCCGGTTGAAGACAAGGCAGTGCGGCGATGGGCCCGTGATGCCGGGCGCAAGCGGGCGAAGCGGGCCGCGGACATAAACATCATTATAGTGCGAATTTACTCTCACGTGTACGCGTAAACTGTCCAAGATTTCCCGAGAGGGTCTAATGGTTCCGGGCAATCGCAATGTGATCACACGGGGGAGCTTGCGTTAACTCACTGGCGAATGCCAACGG